CCTCGGTTTCGGGCCCACAACCGAGCTGCTCCACAGCACCCCTCCAGCCGCACTTGAAGAATAAATCCTTTGCTGCTTCACATTGTTTGATATAAAGGGCTTCGCCCTCCTTGAAACCCCGGAGCTCGGCGTCTTCTGCCTTCTTTTTCAGCTCCATTATCTCGGCGTCCTTCTTACCTTCAAGCTTGACTAGCTCATGAAGGTACTTATCCTTTATCACAGTTAGGGCCTTCTGTTTGTCTGCATTGGCCGAGGTAACTAGTCCAGTCAGACGAGCTACCTCGGCCTCTAGCTCGGCTGTTTTCTGGTAGGACTCCCTCAGCTCGGTTGTTTTTGCTTCAACCTCTGCCATGGCTTGCCTTGCTGTGTTCCTGAGCTCCAACACTTTTTTATGCGCAATTTGGCTCTTTTGCACGGCCTGAAAAGAAACTAATGACAAAACCGAACAGAAAGTTGCTAATATTTAGAGAGACAAGAAGAACAACTTACCAGGATCATTGATTTCGTGGACGAGCGGATGGCCCTTAGCTCGGTCAAGTTCTTGTGGTGCTCCATGTCAGCTGGGAGGCACACACTCTTGGTAAGGTTGAAAGCCATCAGATGGTCTTTTTCAGCGACAACTGAATCAGTGTCCTGAATATCACGTTTCTGGAAAGTCAGTTTGGGTGCCCATTTGGAAGAGCTGGCTCAGTCGGCATGCTCCGGTTACGAGCTCGGTGGAGGGCTTAGCGGCAGAGTGGTTTCGTCTTCATCAACTAAGCGTTGTTCAGTCTAGGTAGTACGGGGGCGCTTAGTTCGGCGTGATGAAGAAGGTTGTTGAGATGGAAGGGCCACCACTGTTTCCTGAGTCTGGTTGGATGGTGGTACTTCGGCTCGGTTGGTCTCGGTTAAGAGGGCCTTCACTCTATTCCGCTTCGCCATTTCTTCTTCTTCGGTAGTGCGAACCAGGTTAATTTGTGGCAAGTTGGGGTCCGGTTCGGGAGAGGCTTCCAGTAAGAAGTCTGTTACTCTGGCTTTACGTCGGCCGCTGTATCTATACGTCGGCTCAAAATTCAGTAGCTTGGCCCAACTTCTTTTGGAATACCAAAGTGCGGCACGAAGTGTGTGTAGGTTGGGGTAACTGTACAGTGACTTGAAGTGGGCTGAATCTGCATAAAGAAGACAACTATCAGTTCGGTTCAGGAACAGGTAACCGAAATAAAACAAAGCATGCCAACAAACCGAAGTAATTATACCAGGTGTTCCTTTATTCCAGTTTATACTTCGGCCAGGGATCTGGGCTTGCTGGTCTTCAAAATTGCCAGACACCCAGAAAAAGTCATCATCATTCAAGTCTTTGTCCGGTGTGTCTTTTATTATTTTTTCTCGGCGGCGGCGTATTCTAAGATAGTAAACCCAGCTATCTTCTTTTGACCCTATGGAGTACTGGTGGAAGATTTCGGCTAAACCAAGGTTAATGCCAGCTCAGCAGTTTAGCTCGGCTATGCCCATTATTATGCGGTATGAGTTAGTGGAAAGCTGGGTTGGGCATATTCTCCTTTGCATAAGGAATTCATAAATTAAGGGTTGGACTGAAAATCTTAGTCCAGTTTCTATTATTGATAAAAGGGTAAAGGGTACAAAGCCCTGGTTTCCCCAAGGTGTAGCATCTTTTTTGGCTAAGGTTAGGTGGACATCGTCAGGGATGTTATAATCCCTTCGGAATTCGGCCAAGCCACTTGGTGTTTCTACTAAAAACCTATATTTACCCATTTATTCCTAAGTTATGTATAAATTATGCTTGATGCTAGCTCGGTCGGAAAATGTTGCTGTGTAGCTCGATTGAGCGATCAAAAGGAGTGCTTGGGCAACCTAAGTCTGCAAAGTGAAAAATAGAAGTGTTAAGCACAGATCTTTAGACCGTGCTTCAGAGTAAAAACAAGTTAAGTCCTACTTCGGCTTTGTGAAATGTTGCAGGTCCTATCTCGGTTTTAGCAAGGTGCATGGTAGCTCGGTTGGGGCAAGTGATTTGTTAGACCGGTTGAAATTCTAGGGGCAGCTTTCTTAGTTCGGTCTGAACTAAGAGTGCTGGTGACAACAATAAAAAATAAAGAAGAAAAGCGTGGTTGGGGTTTCCCTCTGATTATTAGATCTTCGAGGTAAATCTTTGTTGTTTCACTTGTCACCAACATACCCAAAAAAAAAAGAAAAAAAGAAAAAAGAAAAAAGAAAAAGGTTAGCTACAAGTTCATGAATCGTCCAGAAATTGGGGGTTGATCGGAACGTTGTCGATGGTCGGGGCTAGTGAAAGGGAGGTGGTAATGGTGGTGAGGTGGTCGCTGGTTACTATAAACACATTAGAGCACAGGTCTATTTTTCTCTTCTCCATTTAACCAAACAACTTAGGAAGGAACCACAATGCTTTCCATAATTATCCACTTCCCTACCCTCCCATTCCTCGCTTCTCCTCCCTCTTATTTTTCTTCCTACCAAACATAGCTCACAGTGTTTAGGAGGTGGATTTTGTATTAACCAGGCATACCTAGAACATGGGGGATGGATTATAAGATTGTTTTTTAAGTTGTATGTATCCTCTAAATGAGACAAAAATTTGGAGTTGTAGAACCAATTATTTGTGAAACATTTTATAAGTCTAAGAAAATATTATGGGGTCTGTTTTATATTTTACGTAATATGTCTTTGTAATTCTATATACCGTTTGCCAAACACTATTTTGGATTATCACATGGAAGGATTGGTAATTGATAAGTATAAAAAGGGAGCATGGATGTGGTATTGACTGTTGGCTATGAGAAGAAATCGCATAGACATTTGTTAGTTCAGAAGAAGGAAAAGCACCTTGTTTCTTGATAAAACGGTGTAGATATAACTTTTCTTTAGTGATTTATTGCCATGCTTAAGGTAAGTAGAAAGAAACATGCAACTTAATTTAGTAAATTAGTGCCGGCGAGGTGGTTGCTGGTTTAGGTTAGAGTTTGGAAGATGAAGAAGATAAGGGCGTGCATACATTTTTTTATTAAATGGGTATATTTGGAATGTGGGGTATGTGGACTAAGATAAATACCTAAAAATCAAATTATTAAATGAGTGGAGTAAGAAAGGATGTACACAGAGACAATATGATGTGTGGAAATAAAATTTCCCATTCTTGGTCAATTATGAAACATAAATATTTTATTTTTTAACATATTACAAATACACTCATAAAATTTGTTTAAAATATGAATTGGTTCTATAATACTAGAAATTACAATAATCGTTTGTTTTAAATTTTAATTTAACACAATATACTTAAGGGGAAAAAAAATCTAATATGCAATAATAAATTATCAAAATTATTTATTGAAAAATATTTCTCATATCATTAAAAATTGTTAATTGACTTACTGATTTATTTATTCAAAAGGGTTAATTGAAAAATATTTTTCTTATCATTAAAAATTGTTAATATACTTAATGATTTACTTATTAATAAAATTGGTCATTTGTTATGCAAGTATGATTTATGTATTAATAAAATTATTCATTTGTATATGTATATATATATGTATTTCTTTCTACTTCTTTATTTATTCAATAAATTATCTTAGTATTTTTTTAAAATGAGAGAATTATCTTAATATTTATTTTATATTTATCTGTTGAAAAAAATTATACACCACACTTTGTTTTTTTATACATTTGAAAGAAATATTAAAAACTCATAAATTCACCCAAAATTATACGGTAATAGAATTGTAGTCTACATCATTAGGTGTATAACAAATCAAAAAAAATACATATCATATCACATAATTCTATCATATATCTAATGATTTATTCTATACATTTTTTTTTTTTTTTTAATCAACAAAAGTGAAACTTTATTGATGAAAAAAGATTTGCAAACTATTCTTACATCAATAAAGTAAGAAGGTACAACAAGCATCATAACTACACTCAACAATCCCAACTAAGTTGGCACCGAAAAAGTAACACAATCATATGTCAGCATAACACCCAAGATTGGTAAGGATGCAATCAACCAGTCGAGAATAAGAAAATAAAAACAGTAAAGATAACATAATACACCCAACGTAAATTACTCCCAAACTAGCAAATAAACACTCAAAGTAAACATCCCAATCCTAATACTGCTATGTAGCAACAGTAGACAACTAGGAATAGTAGAATGCACCCAAAGTAACATAACTCCGAATCTTGCAGGTAATCAGCAACAGCAACTAGAACTAGTAGACTACTGACATCAGCAACGTAATTGTCACTACAAGAAATTACATTTTTCACAATGCAACAAAATATGTTGCTAAAAAGAAAAATTCATCGGCAAAAAGTTTTGCCGACACACAAAGCTATGTCGGCAACCCGTAGGCAATAGTGAATCGGCAAAAGTTTTTGCCGACGAAATTATCATTGCGTTTGCAAAAGTAATGTCTTTAGCGACGAACATAGTCGTTAATAAAAACTTTCATCCATCATCGACAATTTACTTTGCGTCGGTAAAAGTAATTCAAATATAATGATTGTGTGACACTTTTCGCGACACAAATTTGCATGGGCAAAAAATATACTTTTAACAACAAAATATGAGTCAACAAAAGTAAGCTTTTGGCGACACATTTACGTCGGTAAATGTTTTCATATACTCACGATTTGTTTGTCGATAAAACTTTACTTTTGGCAACGACAAATTGGTATTGGCAAAAAATGCACTTCTAACAACACAATATGAGTGGGCAAAAATAAACTTTTAGTAACACATTTACCGACAAGTAGTTTGTCGAGAAAGCTTTACTTTCTGGCAACGACAAATTTACAACGGCGAAAATAATTGAAAATCATTTATATATATATATATATATATATTTATAAGATTTACAGATTTACAAGAGGCATCCCTCAGGAACCACTATTACAAACTAATAACATTGATATGAAATCACCTAAAGTTGATGTGCAGGTAAAAAAACACTGTTGATACTGTTTTTAAAATTAGTGTATAAAACCTAAAAGGCTAAACTCACTAAAATACTCAAATACATCTAAATTGTCAACCCACAGTAGAAACAGCAGATAACAAATTGAAAACATGAAACCAACAAAGACAGGCAAAACGGCACGACAATCACCCACAAACTTACAACAACCCAAATGTCTATTACACATTGACTACCTTGGCTTCCCTAAGCCCTTTTTCTTGTCTTTCAATGGTCCTCTTGGAATTTTACTGAGAACCTTGGCATCAAGCACTGCATACTGTTTCTTGATCTTGATCATTGCTTTCTCTGAAAACGAATCAACTTGATCCTCGTACTTCTCATACAGTACAGGCACCCGTGTGTAGCAACACAAAGGTTGTTTCATCAAAAGAACAATAATTAAGACTAGGTATAGTCTATAAATAAAAACCTACAATTGATATTTCAAAAAAACCAAAAAAACAAAGTTTGTTGTCATTACATATGTAGAGCAATATCAAGAAATTACAGCAACTTCCCAAAATTGAAGATATCCACAAGCTAGCAATCACCTATTCACCAAAACAGTCTCTCAGAAGACAATAATTAAACACACACATGTAAAGATTGAGCATCACCCTTGGCATACAAAATTCAGCAATTGGTTTAGACCAACTAATGAATTCCAACATCATTAGTAAATAGGGCAAAGAAAAGAACCAGCTAAGAAGCATAGACACTTTAAAAAAGTTAAAATAACTTGGAATCTAATAATAAAACGAATACAATGTAAATTTATATTTTGAAAATATGCAAGGCACACCAAATCAAAAATTACTTAAAAAATTGATCTCCAACACCATCTAAGGCCTTGTTGGGAAACCGGTTAATTTAGTAACTTTTTGACTATTTGGCTAAAATATGAGTTAAAAAAAACTAGTATGTTTGGGATGACTTTTTGACTTATTACGAAAAGATGTGCAAAAAATAGAGAGAAAAGAGAATCTTTGACTTTTTGATATGGGTTGTTGGCTTTTTGACTAATTTAGTAACTTTTTGACTTTTTGACTAATTTAATAACTTTTTGACTAAAAAGTTCAGTTGCCAAACGAGGGTAGTGTCAGCATCACTAGTGTTGCTACCAAATAAATAAATTACCAAAAAAAAAAAAAGTTTGATTCCTAAAAAAAATAACATTAGATATTTCAAAATAACATTATATGTTTTTGTGCTAACAATATGTATATTTGAAATGATTTACGCAGAGAACTAAAAAATAAACGATAAATCATACCTTATGGTGGGCCATTTGGGGAAACAAGAATCCCTCTTCCATGAGGCACACATTTGGAGAAGCAATAATCATTTACAAGACTCTAAATAAAGACCACTATTAGAAATTTGCAGTAGATCAGCATCTAGTAGCGGCCACCCCATAGCAACATTGCAGCAGCAGAAACCCATCAGCCACCAGGGCGGCAGCAGCAGCAGCAGCAGCAGACCAACAAGCAATAGCCATCAGCCACTAGCAACATCAGACCAGCAGGGCCTTTTTCCCAAGACCATAAGACCAACAACAGCCCTTTTCTTGCCTTTCAATGGTCCTCTTGGAATTTTAGTGAGAACCTTGGAATCAAACACTGCATATTGTTTCTGGATCTTGATCCCATATGAATTCCAATAATAAGACACATTGCCTCTACTTTAGAACACCATTTCAGCATTTAAAAAAATAACAAGTCATATGATTGTTCCAACAACTAAGTTTTCCAAAAGCATACTATGTTTCCAAAAGCTATCAAACATCACACATTTATAACAAGTGCAATATCAAGTTCTCATTTCTGTTTCACATTACTATAATAATCCATATTCCAATTACCATTATGCCAGAAAGTGGAATAAAATTTACCTTGGGTCCCTTCATAGTTAGGTGATCACCTTCACGAATCTCTTAAATATGAATCTTGAAATGAAGCTGAGGATCAAGAGGACATAATACCAACACACTTGCAGACAAAGAACACAACAATAGATCATGAGTTATGCCCAAAAGCTACTATTTATTTGAATTAAACAAAATATAGTTGGAAGTTGCAAGTATATATAAATCGGTTATATATTTTGCTTAGCCATATATTCCATGACTAGAATTAAGTGTGCAGAAATGTCGAGATGATTGGTTTCGAAAGTAATTAACTAAGAGCTGCAAGATTGAGGGAACTCTTCCTTACGATGATTTTTTTTTTTTTTTTTTTGGAGTTTATCTTTATCTCTTGAAGAGTCCAAAGTAAGTATTGAATTGGAGTCCATAGAAGTCAAGCTTCTAGTGGGACTAGGATTGAGTAAACTATAAAAGAGAGGCACCCCCGTGGGTCTAAGGTATGAGTTTTATGCTTTGAGCAGTGATTTTGGCAATTGATTATCTTTGAGAGATATACTGACTTGATCGTCGGAGTGCCCCCGGGTGGAAGAGCCACCGCCGGAGCCTTTTCTTTCTGTTACAGGTTAGCTGAAGCCATCTATTCTGCTGGTGCTTTCCAATTGATTACTAAGCGGGTAGTGTGGTCGGAAAATCACCCACACATCAAACATGCAGAATAAATTTTAAAATTACCCAAACTATGTATTTTGTAAATGACCATCTTCTTTAACAAGGGAAAACATATTGCTAGAGAACTCATAAGTAAATACCAACTAAACAAAAAACATCAAATCTTAGAGTTCTTTTATATTTTATGAATAGAAGCAAACCTCAAAAAATTGAGTTCAGAAATCCTGAGATGGAAATGTAATAAAACCCCACCAATATGGATCTTGAAATGAAGCTAAGGATGAAGAGGACATAATACCAAGACACCTGGAGACAAAGAGTACAACAATAGGTCATGATTTATGCCCAAAAGCTACTACTTATTTGAATTAGGTCAACATGCTTACAACACTAGAGGTTACAATTATTTAAATTAAACAAAATATAGTTGGAAGTTGCAAGTACATATAAATTGGTTAGCTATTTTGCTTAGCCATATATTCCATGACTAGAATTAAGTGTGCAAAAATATTGAGATGATTGGTTTCAAAAGTAATTAACTAAGGGCTTCATGATTGATGGAACTCTTCCTTATGATGATTGATAAAAAAAAGTTTTTTTGAACAGATGATTGATAATAAATTGAAAAACACTATTGGCACTCATTAGTATACATATGATTAATGAGAGTAAGTAACTAAAGCCTTGAAAAGGAAAAAACTTTAGCCAAGGTGGTTATGGCAATCCCAATTGCTACTCTATACAGCCATTTAGGCATATAATAGTGAATATAAACACACATGGCAAATTGGTATAATCCAACTCCCTTAATCATCCTTTAGTTGTATTAAATCATCATTGATCCTTGGCATGTACTATTAATTATTATATGTATGTGTCAGCACCACTTATGAACTATTCAGAACATCCTTAAATGCCAAGGATGAATGACCAAATAAAGCCCCCTTTAAAGCCAAGTTTGTCAAACACAAGCTTATGTGCAAATGAACCACATATTGGCAATTTGAAGTTAACATAAAAGAGAAAACAACAACTCTTATTACCTTAATTTGTTTCATTTGTGCAAGTGGTCCAGCAATGCTTAGAAGTGAAATAAATGATACAGAATAATGAACATAATATTTAGTGCACATGTTATCATAAGAATGAAAATAAACAATAGGAGAATATATACTTGGACAAAAAATTAAGAATATAGAATAATAGCAATAAATTGGATAATAATTTTATAGTCAATATAAGCACGAATATATGAATAAAAAAGTCACAACATTTATTTGATTATAGGAAAGATAGAATGTATCACAATAACAAAAGAATGAATGACAGTAACACCCATGCTATCTTATGTTCTTTTCAATCATAATGTTAACTTACAAAAGACATGTAATACAAGTAATAAGTGTTTCAACAAGTGTCAGTTAAGCACCCAAACAGTATAGACCAATGCTAGACATTTACACCCAACCAAATTGTAATTAGACATTGTTTTAAATTAAAATATAAATTATTATAGATTCTACAAATTATAACAGACCAATTATAAGTATAAAAACCTAAAATCAATTTCTCACAAACTAAAACAATATTTAACTGTTTTAGGTCCCTTTTTTTTTCTGATTGGCAAAATGAAACTTTTATTGATGAACAAAGAACTTATTACATCAAGAAAGGAAAAGAGATGAGTGCAAAAAGTATCATAGTGAGACATACCAATCCCAATTAACACTACAAGAAATAACAGTCTTGCCGACCAAAATATTAGTCGCCAAAGGTCACTTTTTTAGTCGTTGATACCAATTAGCGACTAAATTTTTTTGTCGCCAAGTTAGTCGCCTAAACCCTGTCGGCAAATGTTTTAGCGACTAAACATGTGTTTGGTCGCTAAAAGTGAAACATTTGGCTACTATTTTATTTAGTCGGCAAAACCTACCTTTTAGCTACTAAATTTGAGTTGGTCAGCAAAGGGCCAATGTTTGGCTACTAAATTATTGGTCGCCAATAGTCAATTATATTTTTTAAAATTATACATTTACCGACCAATGTTTTAGTCGCCAATACTCAAGGAATCGGCGACCAAACCTTTTAATCGCCAAAAGCTTATTCGTGAAAAAATAAATTACACTTTGCTCTTGTGGAGATTCGAACCATCAACCTCCCACACCATAAACCTTATACAACACCCTCTTTCCACTATACCTCCATAACACCAAATGATTTTATATGCAATATATATTATTTATATAGTACATAGACCCGTATTAATATAAAAGTATATACATAAAGATAATTATTTTTTATTGAACATAATTTATGTAAAAATAAATTATTTATTAGAAAAAAAAAAGAGACAACTTTTGGCGACTAAACATAATTTTCGTTGCCAATTTTATACTTTTGGCTACTAATAATTTTTTAGTCGTTAAAAAATAAAATTCCCACGCTAAAATTACTACTTTTGGCGACCAAACTTGTTTTTAATCGCCAAATGCCTCACTTTTGGCTACTAAAATTTTTTTAGTCGGTAAAAGCCTCACTTTTGGCTACTAAATTGTTTTTAGTCGCCAAAGGGCCTAACTTTTGGCTACTAAAACTTTTTTAATCGGTAAAAGCCTCACTTTTGGTGACCAAACATCTTTTTAGTCACCGAATGCCTCACTTTTGACTACTAATTTTTTTTAGTCGCCAAAGGGCCTTACTTTTGGCTACTAAAATTTTTTGAGTCGGTAAAAGCCATATATCAGCGACCAAACAGATTTTTAGTCGCCAAAACCTATACTTTCAGCAACCAAAAGTACTTTTTTGTCGCCAAAGATGCTTTTTCTTGAAGTGTAATCGCTTGCTAGTCCGTCATCAAGAGTTGGTGAGCAACCAACCAAAGCCAATAAAAAAACCAGCACCAAAATCAGCACCTTAAACAACTCTGCAGCAGCAAATATCAGCAGCAGCAGCAACTAGCAGGGATAGCTCTCCAACGGCACTAGCAGATGCACTGCAAACTCTGTTTTGAAAGCCTCCTCTGATCATCTTCCACCAGCAGCACCCAAAGGCGAACACAATACACACAACAAGAGAATGTAACATATCAGAGAATTGTAATAGCAATTTCTTAGAATATAAAAGAAACAACCTCATACTTAATATTAAGAAAGTGAGTGGTCAAAATAAAATTTCATTCTAAAATACTCTAAAGTTAACGTTTAAAACTACATGTCAATATTTATCTTATTGAACTTATTTAATAATTTAACTGTAATAAAGTGACTAAAGATCCAATTTACAGAGATAAACTTCTCGAAACTCCAGAGAGCGATTCAATCATCAAAAAAAAAAAAAAACTCAATTTATAGAAATCTGAGTTCAAAATCACACAAAACAAAAAAATACACAGATATAAGTACACATTTTTGTTTCAATTTCAATATACAATCAGACAAAACAGACAAATATACAGATTTAAATACACATTTTTGTTTCAATTTCAATATACCTTTCCCGTATCATACATGTTCTAAATGAACAAAAATTTTAACAGCACAACCATAATTTATATTTTTTTCAACAAAAACCGGACAAAAAAATATTGTGAAGTATCAAATCAAGTGATAGGGTCTTCATTGATTTCAATAGTCAATCATTTTTTTGAGGAGTAATTTGATGATTCACACTTATTTTTGTTGTGTTGTTATATCTAAATTGCAAGTCTGAAAATCATTAAAACCTAAATTTAAAATCACAATTCGTCAACCCAGAAACTCTCCAGTTTAAATCTTCACCCCATATACTTAACAAATCATTCACAAAATGCCAACATAATGATAAACCCAATGGAAAAAATGAGGTGCACAAGTGTCCCATTCAAAAACAACTAATCATCCCAAAGCATCAAGAAATCTCAAACTCAAAAAAGTATCAGAAAATAAAAATGCGCCGAAAGATCTCAGAACCCGAGCCCTAATATGAAACCTCAGAAAACTCATATCGTTCTTTAAAAAAAATCCCAAAAATCAACATTAAAACATCAAGCAGAGAGTGTACCTTCACTTCACAAAAACAACAAAACATCTAATTAATCGAAGTCAGAATACAAATCTTTGAATTCAAAGAAAAAATTAGGTAGAGAATGCAATATCGAGAGAGATTGAAACCCTTGTCCTGCGGTTTTGATTACATATGTAGAGCAATATCAAGAAATTACAGCAACTTCCCAAAATTGAAGATATCCACAAGCTAGCAATCACCTACTCACCAAAACAGTCTCTCAGAAGACAATAATTAAACACACACATGTAAAGATTGAGCATCACCCTTGGCATACAAAATTCAGCAATTGGTTTAGACCAACTAATGAATTCCAACATCAACAGATTCTAGGAATCAAATTCATTTAGTAAATAGGGCAAAGAAAAAGACCAGCTAAGAAGCATAGACACTTTAAAAAAGTTAAAATAACTTGGAATCTAATAATAAAACGAATACAATGTAAATTTATATTTTGAAAATATGCAAGGCACACCAAATCAAAAATTACTTAAAAAATTGATCTCCAACACCATCTAAGGCCTTGTTGGGAAACCGGTTAATTTAGTAACTTTTTGACTATTTGGCTAAAATATGAGTTAAAAAAAACTAGTATGTTTGGGATGACTTTTTGACTTATTACGAAAAGATGTGCAAAAAATAGAGAGAAAAGAGAATCTTTGACTT